GTAGGATAAGTGCTTGCCTGGCAAGTGGAAGGGTCTGAGTTCAATCCCCAGTTCCACCAAAAAAAAATCCATTCTTCCTTCAATATTGCATATCTCAGTTAAAGAGGTCACTATCCACACAATCTCTCAAATCAAATCCCTAAAATTTCCTCTGACACATACCTCTAAGATCTGATTATTCTGATTATTTACCAAGTCCTACTTTTTTTATTTCTTTATGGTCTCCTAAATTCAGTTATTTCTCAGTAACTTCACTACTAACATTCTAAGCCAGATCATGATCCTTATTCACCTGGATGATTACCAAAGTCTTTACTATTCTCCCTCTTTCCATGACACATTTACTCCATACTCTATAGAACAATTAGAATGTTCTTTCTAAAACACAAACTTATGTCATATTCAGGCCTAGAGCTCTTCGATAAACTCTCAGTGTTAGACTAAAGTCCCTAAAGGTATTCAAGGCTGATCAGGAATTGGAATAGGTAGGAATTTAGGGCACTCAAATTGAGAGAAAGGGAAAAGTTGGATGCCACATAGATATAGGAAGGGTATCTAGAAGGCAAAAAGTGGTGAAGTGAAATCACAAACAATTCAGAGGAAAAGAGAAAATGAGAGACTGGAACCCTACCTTGAATATGTGAGAAATGTTATGCTTGCCTTAAGTTATCCATAGAGCACAGGTATTCATGATATTTTATTTGCTTAGTAAAAGAAAATGTGATCTCATTTTATGTACTTGGTACAGGGTCTCACTACTACAGCTTGGACTCATAGTGATTCTCCTGCTTTCAGCCTCTCCAGTGCTGGGATTACAGGCATGCGCCACCATGCCCAGACTCAGTCACTGTCTCAGTGCACCCCAGGGGCAGGGCTGGCACAGCACACCCGGGATTTAGTAAGTTTTTAATTGATATTTTTCAGGTTTGAATTCACATAGTGTGTATCTAGTGATGCTTTAGCCTACTTTCCATTACATCTATGCATTTTTTTGAAAATAAGCTGCCAAATTTGGTATTTAAAATGGAAGACTTTTGTAGTATATGAATCAGTAAAAAATATCATAAAGTAACAGTGTAAGAGTCCAACAAGGATACTTGGATGTACATTGTGGCATTATTGGTAATGGAGGTGGGGGGAAACAATCTAAATGTTCATGTATACTGGACCAACTAAATAGATAGTGGGATGAGCAGGTCACACTGGATTGCGGCTGCTGCTGCCACCATCATGCCATCCTCTCGGGTCTAGAGATAATAGGTGACACTCCAGAATGGGAGGCAAGCCACTTTGGGAGCAGATTAGATCCAGCTTCATTCAACATTACTACCAGTTATTTGATAACAACAAAACCCAACTAGGCACAATTTATATTGATTGCCTTATGTGAGAGGGACAGCAGTTCCACGGGAAAGCTGCCATTGTGGAGAAGTTGTCTAGCTTTCTGTTCCAGAAAATTCAGCACAGCATCACAGCACAGGACCATCAGCCTACACCAGACATCATCAGCACGGTTGTGGGCCAGCTCAAGGCTAATGAAGACCCCATCATGTGGTTCCACTAGATATTCCTATTAAAGAACACCAATGGTGCTTGGGTTTGCACAAATGATATGTTCAGGCTTGCCCTGCACAACGTCGGCTGACCTCCTCCCACCCGGCGCTCATGCTGTTTCCTTCTCCCTCCTCTTCCTGATAGTACCACACTCCTCCAGATGCTCCAAATATCATACACAAGCAAGCAGGGCCGTGGTGGAAGTGGGTGCAGCGCGCTGCTGCCACCACAGTGTTGTGCATGATGTTTGCACTAGACTAGTTGCATCTGACAGGAGAAGTTTTGTTGTACCAGCACATGCCTTGGAAGGACTTAAGTAATGCAAAAGGTTGTTCTTTTATTATTTTTTTAATCTACTGATAAGTTGCTCTAGTAACCCAAAGAAGTGAAGGAGAAAGCAGCTACCTCACCACTCAAATATTGATTTGTTCAGATGTTTCAATGCCTCATGATACAATAAAACCACAAAAAAAATCTTAACAGTTTAAATTGTTTTAATTAATTTAATAGTTGACTGGGCATCAATAAATACCCTGCCCCATTAGCTCTCTCATGTCTCACCTTTCACCTCTACCCCAACTCAGCAATATCTACTGCAAGGAGAAAAAGAGCTGAAGCACACTACCAGCTTGCTTGCCTCAAGCCAGAGTTCTCAGGCTGTCTGTCTTGGAAAAGCAGACAAGGAAAGCTCAGGTGTGGTCTGAAGCTTCCCTTGCATTGAAGCCTCTCTAGTCAGTTCTGGTGCCTCTTTCAACCTCTGCCCTGGAGTAGGTTCAGGGCTCTAGTAACAGTGATGACTGTGAATTCTGTTGCAGCTGGAGTGGTCTTGGCAAACATCCCAACAGGTTCAGGCTCTTTGAGCCTGATAGGGGGACCCAGTCTATCCCCAGAAGGGTCAGGATCATATCCAAAGTACGGTACATCCCACAAACCAAGCAGAGGGCAGCTTAGATTCTCTAATACCTGCTTGGGATGATTGCCTAAAGAGGAAATTCCTGTTGGGTTGGGCTATGGAAGATTTGGATCTGTAGAAGTCAAAAATACGAGTCATGCTGTAGGAATTCACACCCCTCAGGCCTTAGCAGGATGTTTCTATTCCTCCCTCCATTCTCACCACACAACTCCACACTCAAATTCCAAGAAGTCTTAACTATTAGGGCAGTTTCTTCTCAGTTTTGGAGACAAAAGCCTTGCCCAATGCAGGTATAGCCCCTCGACCCTGAGACCTCTAGATGGTAAAAGAAGCCAAATAACAACTGTAAGCCAGAACCAAACCTTAGATTTGGACTAATTGGAGGTTTTAGGATTGATGAGGGCATCCCAGCTCAGGCTAATCTGTACCCTCCATTTTCCAATATGAGGGGAGGTTATGGGATTTCTTTGGACCCCACAGGTTGCCTGTCTTCACTGAGCACAGGGGTGGATGATGTGCTGTTTGGGATGACAGCATAGTCAGATTTCAGTGGAACTGATACGTAAACTGCTCTGTAGATGGGGTTGGGAAGAGGTAGATGCCTGCTGCCTCTTAAGCCACCCTGCATAAAAATCTGCAAAATAGCTTTCTCCATGTACCTATGCCTGAAATGTCTGCAACAGAGGTGTTTGTAAAAATAAATAAATAGTGGGATGTCTATACACAAAATTATGCAGCTATTAAGAAAAAGAGGACTTGTGTACTATGTGTGTGGAGAAAACTCAAAATAATTAGCATAGGAATATTTAAAATATGGAGGATGTATATAAAAATGTTAATAGTGGTTATTGCTGGGGAATGATGATGGTGAGTGGTTTTTCATTGGTCTGTTACATATTTCTTTATTATTTGAATTTTCACAAAGACAACACATTATCTTTGTAATAAGAAATATATAAAAATAAATAAATTCAGTGAATGAATCGCTTCCAGAGGATGGTTGAGGTTGGAAAGACTTCAGGCTAATCTTGTACAGTGCATAAACATAAACTTTGGCGTCAGACATCCTTGAACAGGCCCCATTGCCCCACCCCTCACCTCCTCAAAGAAGGGGGGGCAGCGGGGCAGGGGGCTGCGGAAAGGGGCTGGGCTGTGTTGTGCTGTCTGCAGCACTTGTCCAGGAGGCTGACTTTGAAACGAACTGAGAGAAGGCAGACATATCCGGGACTTGCTAGAGAACAAGGTAAAGGAGTAGAGATTAGGGTTTAGGATTTTCTGGTAGACAGACAGTAGCTCAAACCTGGAACCCGCAGCCAGGCAGGTAGGTAATTCATATTGCACCACGGCAGCTGGAGCGGAGGCGCCTTGGTGTAGGGTGTAGGCAATAAAGACTACTGGGAAAATAGTAGGCAGTACCGTGTATGGACTGGGCAGCGGAGACTATCGGAGGAGTTTTAAAAAACGGGGACCCCTGCGTTGGTTGAGAAAGTGTAAATACGTGGGGGAGGGAAAAACTGAAGGGGGCGTGAAGAGACTAGTGGATGGAGAAAAGAGTTAGACTAGGGGGAGTGTGTGCATAGGTAACATTGGAGGGTGTAAGGAATGGGAATTGGGGATTTGTGAGGTAAATAGGAAAAGTGATACGGGGATAGGGAGTAAGGAGGGAGGCAAAAGGAAACTGGGAGAGGAAGAATAAGGAATGAGAAACTGGGAGCGGGGGAGGGGCAGACAAACTGGGATTAAGGGAGGCCCCCTAGGGAGACGGAAAGAGGCGGGACCACTTCCGGCCTGGTGGTGGGGAGGGCTGTCTCGGAGTTTCCGAAGGGCTTGGAGAGTGGATCTACTGACGAACTGTGGGATCACGAGGTGAGCTGCGGAGTCCCGCTTTGGCTGATATCCCGCTAGGGGTCGGCCCCGTCCTCTGGGATCTAGAGAAAACCTGCCACGAAAGGACCGGATTGTACCGGATTTATCCGGCTGGGAAGGGAAGGAGCTGGCCTCCGGGTTTGGCTGGGCCTAAGATGGAATCACTATTTCAATGCTGATTTGAGGAGGCGAGGGCTTAATTGCAAGGGGCGGAACTAAAATGCATTTTCCCCAGTTTGGAAGAGGGTTTATTAGGAAAAAGGGCAGAACCGGGAGGCACTGAGGACTTGGTTGAGTGAGAGTAGGGGAGGGGCCGGCCAAGACCACTAGACTTTGCGATAATTTGGAAGGGAGGCTTGTTGGGGAGAGGGCGGGACCGAAGAACACTGCAGACCTGTAGAGGAGCGTGTATTGGGGCAGGGTGCTGGACTGAGACTGTTAACATTGCGCATGTTCATCATGTATCACTAGAAAGGGGCGTGTTGAGAAGGACCGTCAGCCAAACAAACCAGTTGCTGAATGCGCATGTGTGTGGTGAACTTCAAAGAAAGGACTTAAGCTGGAAAGCAAACAGGGCGGAGATGGGGCCTACAGAAGACGCGCATGCGCACTATCGACTTGCGGCTGGGGGGGTGTGCACTGGGAAAAGGGGCGGGGTCCTCTGAGCTGCCGCGCTGGCACATCTTCCTGGAGAAAGGGAGGGTGCGGCTGCAGAGAACTGAGACCTAGAAGCTTTAGATATCTGTATCTTAGAACAAAATCGTTGGGGTAGGGGGAGAGTTGGGGACTGAGGCTCTGAGGAAGGTAAGAATCAACTTCAGGCAAGACTGGAGAGAGGACATTCCGTAGGTTCTGCACTTGACCTAGGCCTTCTCTCCCTCAGGCCCAGCTCTTGCCAGGCCAACCTGAGACATGTCTGACACAAGCGAGAGTGGTGCAGGCCCAGCTTGCTTCCAGGTAAGGCCTCTTGCTACCTTCTCTCCAGCCGCTTTTTCCCTCCAACCCCTGTTGCTGCTCCATATCCCTTGGCACTTCCCCTCCCATCTCACTTGCCCTTTTCCATGCACATCTTTGGCTGGACATCTGCCCCCATCATGTACGGAGTGGAGGGAAGAAGGGATGGAGGACAAAAGGGAAAGAGGGTGGGGAGACTCCTCTTCCACCATCAGTTCTTGCTCAAAGGAAGGGAAGGCCTTGTTGGGCTGAGGTGCTCACAGCACACTGCAGTAGGAGTACAGGTCTGAGAAATGTAGTGTTTAATATTGAAGCTATTTGCCTAGTTTGGAGTGGAGAGGTCAGTGAGCTTTCTTGCTTCCTCTTGCAGGCCAAAGCTTCAGAAAAGGACAGTGGCTCAATGATCCAGACCCTGTTGATAGTAACTAAGAATTTAGAAGTCTCAGAGACACCAAAGGCTTCAAAGGCACAAGAGATCTCAGAGACTGCAAAAGTCTCAAAAGCCTTAGGGGTCTTGAAGACCATGAAGGTCTCAAAGGCCCCAAAGGCTCAGGCAGCATCTGCCATCCAGTCCTCACCTGCCAAACAGCTGACTGATACTCAGGTTTTGACAGCTGAAAACAAGAGTCCAGCAGGTGACAGCAAGACACAGAATACTGACTTGCGGGCTGTGGCAATGCCTGCCACTGAGACCAAAAAGGTCAGCTGTGTAGCTGATATGAAGGTCAATACAAAGGCTTCAGAGATTGAGGCTACTGCTTCTCAGGCTCAGGCAGATGAACCTGAGCATGAGGGTACAGCTGTCCAGGCTCAGGAGAATCAAGATACTCGGCCCAAGGTGAAGGCCAAGAAAGCCCGAAAGGTAAGATCTCTTGAGTCACCACCCATGCTTTTCTACTCCTCTCCTTTCACTTGGTTATTTATTCTATGAACATTTAGAAAAATTTACTCATAAAGGCATAAGAGACACTGAGAAGAATATAATATAATTCCTGACTTTGGGGAACTCATAGACTGGTGGGAAGATGAAAAAGCAATACACACACATAATAAACTTAATGTAATACAGTTTATATTTACATGGTAGCTGCCTATGTGTTAGCCCTTGAACCAGGCACATTCACACAGGTTATATCATTAAATTTTGAAAGTAAATCTTGCAATCTTAGTTTTATAGAGAAGGATACAGAGTCCCAGAAAGGTGACTTGTCCAGTGTGGTACAAACAGCAAGTGGTAGACACAGAATAAAGCCTCAGGTTCCTGATGGACTGGGAGTATGACGCTCTGGAATGGAAATCAATGAGAAATAAATCCAGTACTCTGCATGGCCTGTGTCTAGCAAGTCAAACTGCTACTATAGGAGCAGGATTAGAGGGTACTTCTTGGAAGAGAGAAGATGAGGAAGAAGGACCACCTGCTTCACCTGGTAATGTTGAGTTTTGTATTTGTTGATGCAGGTGAAACATCTGGAAGGGGAGGAGGATGGCAGCAGTGATCAGAGTCAGACTTCTGGAACCACAGGTGGTCGACGGGTCTCAAAGGCCCTAATGGCCTCAATGGCCAAAAGAGCTTCAAGAGGGCCCATAGCCTTTTGGGCACGCAGGGCTTCAAGGACTCGATTGGCAGCTTGGGCACGGAGAGCTTTGCTTTCCCTGAGGTCGCCTAAAGCTCGTAGGGGCAAGGCTCGCCGTAGAGCTGCCAAACTGCAGTCATCCCAAGAACCTGAAACACCACCACCTCGAGATGTGGCTCTTTTGCAAGGAAGGGTAAGAATACCATCCTTTTTATCTTTCCTTTTCCACTCTCTTGCCAGCCCTCTTCTCTGTCATCCTCTCAGGTTTTATTTATTTATTTTTTTTGTCTTTTCTTCTTGTCCCAGGCAAATGATTTGGTGAAGTATTTGTTGGCTAAAGACAAGACAAAGATTCCCATCAGACGTTCAGGTAGAGTCCTACCAACCCTCACCTTCCCTGAGCTCTGCCCTACATTATCCATTCTCCCATGTACTAGGGACAGCCCTCACTCTTACAGTCCTACCTTTCTTCTCCCAGAATTCTAACTTGGTAGTTCTAGCATCTCTGTTTATAAGCCCAGAACCTGGTTAAGTCATCCATGGCATGGTTGATAAAGGGTCTATAGCTTGGGAACGAGGGCCACCTGGTAACTTTTCAGCCCAGGTGCTTACAACACTCTCCCTTTGCAGACATGCTGAAGGACATCATCAAAGAATATACTGATGTGTACCCTGAAATCATTGAACGAGCAGGCTATTCCTTGGAGAAGGTGAAGGGGCAACCCTGGGGGTTGGGCATACTGGGAAAATTTTGAATGGAACAAGGGTGTACAATGTCCCTTCTGAGGGAATCAAAGAGACCTATTAATAGAGCCCCATCACTGCAGGTGGGTAGCAAGTAGGCTAGGGAGGAGCATAGACCAGCCACGGGTCATACAGCAACTAAGTGGTGAAAACATAGCCAGGACTCACGCCACCTAACTTAGTCTTGACTTCTGTCTGCTGCTGGACACATCCTGTTATATATTCATGTGCTTGCTTTTTTGTCTCCCTAGATTCCCAATAATCTCAAAGATAATGTTGATGACAGTAGAATATTTGTTACATGTTTACTGTGTGCTGGGTATTTAGCTGTATTCTTTACATGTTTCAGAGTGCCTAGAAAGCTGAATTTTGGGATCTTACATGCTCTTCTCCTTACCCACAGGTATTTGGGATTCAGTTGAAGGAAATTGATAAGAATGATCACTTATACATTCTTCTCAGCACCTTAGAGCCCACCGATGCAGGCATACTGGGAACGTAAGCTGGAAGAAGGCTGGGGTGGGAGAGGGACTTTTGCTTTCATGCATGATACTGCCCTGCCCTCTTTCCTGATGTCCTATTAAAGAGTCAGGAAAGAGGGCCAAAAAGGGCTCTGTCCCAGGTCTCCCATGTGATTGGCAATCTGCATACAGTAATAGTGCCTGATTATGATTGACTGAGGGTGCAAGAGCTTGGGATAGGGCATTCTTGCTGTCAGGTTTGCTGTATATCCTGAACCTTCCCTGGAGAGCAAGCTTGTTATGTGTTTCTTCCTATTGAGTCCTGTCATTGGTAGGGTGGTTCTCAAGGGAAGGCTTCCTGTTGTGATTGGATCATGACTGGGGCATTGCTTATAATAGTTTCAGGGTTGGGCACTCTGAGAAAGAAGAAACTAACATTTACTGGGTGTGTTGTACCAGACTGACAGGCATTCTTCCATCTTCTTGGCAACCTAGGGATACAATAGGATGTGATTTTTTTCTATTTACTGATAAGATCATGTTTTTTTTTCTGTATCTTAGGGAAAGGTCTGCAGGTGTTCAGGGTCTCACTACTAGATCAGACTCATAATGATTCTCCTGTTTACAGCCTCCCAAGTGCTAGGATTACAGGCGTGCGCCACCATGCCCAGCTTCAGTCGCCCTCTCAGCGCGCCCCGGGGGTGGGGCTGGCATGGCAGGCCTGGAAATGTAACCCCTGACACCTGCACCTGCTTGCAGGTGCTTTAATCCACTGAACTATTTGGCTGGCCCAAGAAGATGATGGTTAATGGTGTTTATGTACCTTCCCAGGGTCATGTAGAGCTGGAAGCATAGATTAGGCTGAATTCTCTCCTGTGTGAGTTATCTGGGAGATGCTAGCTGAGTGAGCTGCCTGGGGTATCTTGAAGATGGCTCCTCAACAAACTTTCTGCCTTATTATTTCATTAGGACCAAGGACTCACCCAAGCTGGGTCTCCTCATGGTGCTTCTTAGCATCATTTTCATGAACGGAAATCGGTCCAGTGAGGGTGAGTGGCTGGGTTTGCACTCAAATGGGTGGCTGTGATCTGAATTCCACATGTTCATTTTCTACCCCTGTCTCCTCTTGCCTCCCCTTGCAGCTGTCATCTGGGAGGTGCTGCGCAAGTTGGGGCTGCGCCCTGGGTATGATTGGGCTCTCTCAGCGCTTGTTGCCCTTTGGCAAGAGAGGACAGTCCCAGGATTGGATCAACCTGGTGGTCTGGTGGAGCAGGCGGGCGTGCTGGGCTGGGTAGAGGTTCCAGAGTTCTGACCTGGGTGGATGGGGAAATGGTCCTGAACTCTGCTCCTCTTCTCATTGTCTCTTGAGCTTCTGTGGAGCATCCCCCTTTGCTGAAATCTCTTTTCCACCTTGGAAGTATTTTTTGCTGGACCTGAGAAGTGCCACAGTCCCAACTGTATTTATTCGTTTGTTTTTTTTCCTCTCTTCTCAGAATACATCACTCACTGTTTGGGGATGTGAAGAAGCTCATTACTGATGAGTTTGTGAAACAGAAGTAAGTGTCTTTGGTGTATCTCATGAATTTTCTTAATCTCAGAACAGAGTGATAAAGCCTTGGTACATGCATGGTTGTATGCATGGGTACATATGGACCTATATGTGTGTGCATCTATGCGGGTGCTAGGTTATTTCTGAGAGCAGTGATACAAAACAGAGGCTGCGAGTTTCCTGATCTTTTACATGGACTCTCACATGTACCTTCAGAATAACTACACAAGGTGAATTGTCACCACTAGCCATGTATATATGTAGAAACTGAGGCTCAGAAAGGTGAACTTTGGGGGCTGGGGAAATGGCTCAGTAGGATAAATGCTTGACTGGCAAATGCAAGGATCTGAGTTCAATCCCTGGTTCCGCCAAGAAAAAAAAAAAAAGATTTCCAGAAAGGTGAACTTACGTGCTCATTCTTATGCAAATTCAATGACTTGATTCCTTTTACTGTGCTTTGCTTTTTTTTCCCCCATGGTACTGGGGATCAAACTTGAGCCCTTGCGCTTGCCAGGCAGGCACTTATGGTGGTGCGCTGTATCCCCAGCCCAGTGTGCTTTTAAATAGGATCTTGTAGAAATCAGTTTCCATCAGACAAAAACTTTAGAATGATAGCTCCACACAGCCATGTTAGGAACTGGACTTGTACATCTGATTTCGTTTCTGTAAGTATTCTACAGAATGTTATCTAACCTGCTTTTTATAGTTGAAGAGCCTGGGGCTTGAGAGTGATGTTTGAACCTTACCCACCGCTAGAAAAATGGCTCATTTAGGCCTGGAATCCAGCCCTCTTGACTTTCTGTTCATCACGGAGAAAGTGTAAAGCACTCCCACAATCAGGCACACATAGAAACACACACATACATGCAAACAGACACATGCACATATGCACCACATACAGTCAGCAATATATATGGGACATGCTGCTCCTGGTTGATTGTTTTTCCTTTATTGCGTTTCACTTTCTGTAGGGGTTCTTTCTCAAAGCTTGGCCCACCCTCCCTGGGAACCTTTGCCATGGGATGTGGTTAGACCAGGAGACCTGAAGAATGGCTCTTCTGTTTACAACACATCCAATAGGAATCCAGGGACATTGTGCAGAGGGGCGCAAAACTTGTGACTTGCCTTTGAGCAAATGTCCTACACATTTACTCCATATACTTCCATGTGTTTTCTGGATAGTACCAGGGGGACAAGGCTCAGTGATGGGGGAAAAGCTACAGCATTTAGTGCAAGTGTGAACATTTGGCTCTGTCCGATGTATTCATGTGTGATTTGTTGATAGCCCTAGAAGTAAAGACTTTGAATTTCTATTTTCAAGGTACCTGGACTATGCTAGAGTCCCCAACAGCAATCCCCCTGAATATGAGTTCTTCTGGGGCTTACGTTCTTACTATGAGACCAGCAAGATGAAAGTACTCAAGTTTGCCTGCAAGGTAATTGGAGAGCTGCTTGAGCTTGGAATATTGAGAGAATGGGGTGCCCTAGGCTGGATCAGATTGTGTGTAGAGCAGCCTACAGTTCATATTTGAACATTCTAAAGCCTCTATTAGTGCCAAATGCTATGATAAGCATTTTGTCTGGATCATGTAGTCTTTACAACTCATAAGGCACTGCCTTATTGCATATGAGAAAACAGGCTCATGGTAGGTAACATGTTCAAATCATGTAGCTAGTAAAGTGTCAGTACAGAGATGGAATATTAAGTATAGAATTACTGTTATTATTTACTATATTATTACTACTATATACAGCATGTAGCATGGTGCCCGGCATATAGGAGGCACTTAATCCTGTGGTTATGATCCTTCTAGTGGTTGTTATTTCCATTTCAGGTACAAAAGAAGGATCCCAAGGAATGGGCAGCTCAGTACCGAGAGGCAATGGAGGCAGATTTGAAGGCTGCAGCTGAGGCTGCAGCTGAAGCCAAGGCGAGAGCCGAGATCAGAGCACGAATGGGCATTGGGCTTGGCTCTGAGAATGCTGCTGGGCCCTGCAACTGGGATGAAGCTGATATTGGACCCTGGGCCAAAGCCCGGATCCAAGCAGGAGCTGAAGATAAAGCTAAAGTCCAAGAGAGTGGTAGTGCTAGTACCAGTGCCAGTCCCAGTACTGGTACCAGTGCCAGTGCTAGTGCCAGTGGTGGCTTCAGTGCCAGTACCAGCTTGACTGCCACTCTAACATTTGGGCTTTTTGCTGGCCTTGGTGGAGCTGGTGCCAGCACCAGTGGCAGCTCTGGTGCCTGTGGTTTCTCCTATAAATGAGATTTCAGGTATCTACCTTGGTTTCAGTGGAGGCAGTTGGGGTTTATGGGGATGGGATGAAAAGCTGAAACCCAGGGTTAGAAAATGATAAGGAGAATATACAAAGACACGGCTTCTGGCATTTATTTCTTTCTGTTTGGTGGCTATCAATTGACTTTTTGATTTTTTTTAAATTTGTGTTTGCAAATATCCTTAATTCTAGCAGTCTTTCTCTTCAAACTAGGTTGCACCCTCAGAAACCTACTCAAAACAGCACTCTAGGCAGCCACTGTCAATCAATTGAAATTGACACTGCATTAAATCTATTTGCTGTTTCTGAGTTTATTGCATTTTTGGGGGGTGGGCTGTGAATTTTAAAAGCAAGTGGAAAGTGTCCATCTCAGTCTATGCTTAGTTTGTGGTGATGGATTCCTGGGAGCAAAGTTTGCACATCTCTCTATAAGGTGTTGGGCCCCAACTCTAGCCTATAGGACAGATAGGATTTCTGTAGAGTGGGGTCTTGGGGATTGTAGGCACAGAAGATACTTTTTAAAGATGACTGAAGTGAGCAAGTCTGAAACAAAGAGGAGATTGCACATCGTATATAGACTTATTTCTAGAAGTCTGGATGAAACAGAAGAAATAAGCATCTAAAGAAAAATGCAGGGATGAGTGTCTTTCTGGATGAAGGAGAGCAACACAGGCTAAGAGCTAGGGAAGAGGGGGTTGTTAAACACTGCTCATGCATCCCAATCTCTGAGGGAGTGAGAAGGGATGGCTTGTAGGAGTACCTGGCAGAAGGCAAATGTCTAGAAAGACTTAGAGAAAGGAATATTGAAGGATGTTGAACAGGTAGAAGGTTCTAGTATTGGATGTAGCCCCAGATTTGGGCAGAACATGGCACAGTGCTCAGCAATCTGGGTATAGGAGCCAAGGATGAGTAAATGGAGGGGTGTTGAGAAAACAATTGAACTGGGGATTAGACGGCAGTATCTTTCTGCTTGGGACAGAAGAGAGGCTTTCTGATCTGGTTAAGTTCATGGGGTGGTTGATTGAAGGGGAGAGATTATGGCTTGCAGAGATATCAGATTATCCATGTGGACAGTCATACCACCAGGATGATAGAAGGAATTGGGCAAGGGGGAAGCACTATGAGCCAGGTATAAAAGTCCTTTCCTATGGTTGAAGGTGTTACTTTCCAAGCTATATCACCTACTAAGGGACAGAGCACTTAGGCTACTAAGACTCCACCTTGCATTGGCAGATACAGTCTGGACTATTCTAAGAAGCCCGCACCATGTCTAACCCCTATAGTTTCCGCTCTGAGTCACTGAGCCAATTTCATGAACAATGAAATCTTCATGATGGCCACATCTTCTCTCCTGAAAACTCCAAAAGTAATAAAGGGAAAACCCTTTTTTGTTTAGAAAACAGGATTTTAAGGAAAAAAAAAGCACCATCCAGAGGGATAGCTCCTTGCCTCTGTCCCTGAATTGAGACCTGCATTTTACTGCTGAGGTGGTCTTCACTGAAACCAAATTCTTCCATACAAGGCCTGGCTTTGGTCTCCTCCAGAGGCTGACTAGTACACAGGATGGTTAGACAAGGCAGCTTTGGCATTCTAAAAAGGGCTTGGAGGGTATTCTGCCAAAAGTTCTGTTAGGTTTCCAGGTAGTGCTGTCAAACATTGAAGGGAGATAAGGGATATTAGGGGATAGAAGGTAATGGAGGAATGGTGAGGAACTCAGGAACAGATTCTAATAAAAATTAGGTTTAAATTATTTGTAAGAGTTAAGGTTGAATCATAGTCATGAAGAATTCTGTCTTTCCCATTGATGTCCCCTCCATGGGCTGCTAGGCTTGCAGGGCTTCTTCCCACAAAGCCAAGAATTTGACAGAATAAGGCATGGGCTCTTCCTTCTCACTTCTGAGTTGAATCTTGAAAGCAGGTAGGAGAAGAAGGAAAACCAAAAATCTGATACCTGATAAGTGGGAAAGTGAGTGCGGAAGCAAGACTAGCAGGGGACAGTTTCTGGTTCTTGGTTTTGCCACCTTCATCAATTTGGACACCATTGGTGTAATGAATGGACTCCCACAAGTTCAAGTCTTTCCTTTAGTTTACCAGTAATTAAATCCCAAATATAAATTATATCATGTATCTCCCCCTTGTTTAGGGGTAGGCAGAGCCCCTTGCAATTTCTTTATCACCCTAGTAGAAGCTTTTAGACATTTTTGTCTTCTGTACACCTCCAGTGAAATTAGGCTTCCACAAGTACACTATATAGTTAACAGCTGTGTGTATTTATGCTTTATACATAAAATAATTATAAAGCTTTTAAAATTCAGTACAGGGTTAATAATGACTAAATAAAATGTTTTAAAGGTTAAATGTGAAGGTAAATCCATATCGAACCTATACATAACATGCATCCCTTTTACTATTGGAATTTTTGTTTGATGACTTATTGTGTTATCTTTAGAAAGAAGTTGACAGAATTCCACAGGGTAGCTGACCATGGGTCCTCTGGGTGACATGGGACACAGTCTCACAATCCACTTTGAGAATTCTGTTCACTTCTCAACACATGTGCAGGCAAAGCAGTTAGTGTGCCTTCCACAGGATGTGTGCTATTTTACTGCAATATTGTTATTGCTATCAGTTCTTGAGTCTCATTTCTTCCTAGTCTTTGACCAGGTGGCATAAATTAAGTACTTATCAGTGCACCTGACAGGTTTCGATCTGGTAAAAATATCAACCAGATGCATATCCCGTCAAAGGATATCCCTTCCTTAATTACTCTCAGGGTCAAAACTGAGTGAGGCTGTAACCTTCAGGTCCCCTTCCAGATAGTTTATTGTTGTCACTGTGTTATCAGCTCCAGTCCAGAGTTTCTTTCCTTCTTCAGGACTGATTATCAGGAACTCTTCCCAGAGCTCCAAGGATGAATGAGACTAGGCAAGCAGTGTAGTAAGGGAGGTGTGACAGAAAAGATGAGTCTCCTATACCATTAGCCTTAGAACCTGCTCTGCCCTATCATGGTAGGGAGTTATCTGCCTGCCAACTTCATGGTTTGGTAGACCAGATAGCACAAGACTAGAATGGGTGACTCAGATATTATGTTCACTTGGGGTCCCATGCTTAGGCACTCAAAGTTTTGGGTTTTTTTACAATTTAAGCATGGAAATTTCTTTATTTTCTGTATTTACTGCTTTAGAAATTATGAACTCAGCATGATTATTGGTTTCCCTGGGCAACAGGCAACACATCTGATTTCTGAAGACAGGATGGATAGATTTATGTGACTAATAGAATATTCAGGGACTGCTTTGGTTCCTGAGTAGGTGTGGCTTCTTGATATATTTCACTTAAAAAGGTTTTATTTTTAATTTTTTATTTATTTTACTGAGAAAGAAATAGCAATGAGACAGTTTCAAAACAGGTTAATAGAACAGTTACAATAATACATTGCATATTGTCTTCGTAGTAGTTATTCACAGTACAAGATGCAGACATGATCTCTTGTCTAAACAATATTAGTGCAAATCTTATTGAACTAAGAGAAAGTAGCTGTATATCCTATTTTGCATATACATATATTTTTTCACTACAAAATGGTCTTTCATTTATATTCCCCTTGAACTTTTACTGAGACCAAATAATTTAACTTTGTTGAATTAATTGCTGGGTGCCAAGAGCTGTTTCTCAAAAGGAAATGGTTACTTCATGAAGAGAGCATGGCTTTTGCTCTGAAATTCTAGAGGGTTTTGCTTTGAGTTGACAGTTAGCAAAGACTCTGTAGCACATCTCAGTCTTTCAGATAACCATTTAATTCAGGCATGTACATGTTCATTCCACCAATGTGTATGAGTATAGTATTTATGGGCCAGCATGGGGTGCTGGGGTGTCCTTGTTCTGCACATGGCCTGTCCAGAGGGAAACAATGGCAGCACTGAGAACAACCACAAAGGACTATGGGAACCCAAGAGAACAAAGAATCTGTGCTCTTGTGAATAGATGTGCTATGAATCATGGGTGGTGCATGCTAATAACATTTACATAAATGCACACCAGCACAGCTACTTCTACAAATACAGGTATTTTGTGTATATTTAAGGATAGTTCTGAGTCAGTTGTGAGAGCTCTGGCAGAAAGAGTTATTGCCTGTGCAGTAGAAATTTGAGTTAATCCTTACTCTCCACTCTCTTACGCAGTACCTCTATGCTATTGGGTGCATCCATAACCCACTCTCGCCTTATATTCTGCCTGTTAGTGTGAGCCATGCTGGTCTCAGCATCACTTTACATGATTGGTGAGGAGCACCAAGACCATTCTCTGGTACATAGTAGGTGCTCTATGAGTTACAACTGTGGTGACTAATGAGATAGTCAGTAGACCTGGAGCACAATGCACATGATTGTGAAGGTTCAGGCCTGGCATGTACACATACACACTTTTTTGTATGTGTGGGAGGCACATACCTGGAGATGGTTATATACTCCATCAGACTTTGAGCTTGAGTGTAGTACAGGGCCAGCCCCAGCTAAGAAATCCTGGGGTCCAAAAGGTGCCATCGGGATTAACTGATATGGTGGCCTCTGCTCAGTGGTGCAAGTCAGATCAGAGCTTACCTTGATGGGAGGCTGCCAATCTGGAGGTAACAGAAGGGAGCTTTGAAGGCTAAACCTCAAGCAGCTGTGCTTGGCACATACCATATCTCTAGCACAGAGACAGACCAGGTAGGAAGGCCTAGTCCACCCTGGTGCTGTCCTATACAAACTGTGATCTGGAGCCATCTTCTGTTCCTCTGTGGACCCAATCCCTAAACTAGTAATGGCAGTCAATACCTGTTTGCATGCAGCTATTGTAAAGATTAAATGAAGTTATACATGTGGTAGCAGATGACACCATGACTATATATATATATATATATATATATATATATCCAATCTGTGATAATAACAATACCATAAATGTCTCTTGCACTTCATTTTCGACTTGTCTCACCCCAAGTGATTGGGCTGTAACATCTGTGCTATCAAGACCAGCTATATCACCAGGTGCTAGGAAAATGTATCCCTTTATAGATCCAGCACCCAGAATGTGCAGGTCACTATGTCCTCGTGGGAGGAAGACACTTGTGTCCTGATAGAGTCAAAGACAATCAAAATTAGGAGAAATAGAACCCAGAGCTCTATGACCTACTGAGGAGGAAGAGGGGGAGAAGGAGAGAGGGGAGAATGAGGAGGAGGAGGAGACGAGGAGGGCTTTTTGAACCAGATCTTTAAGTAGGAGCTCAGATTTAGAAAAGAGTGGGGAAGCCAAAAAGATGCTGGACGTGG